TGAGGCTAAGGGATAGTGGGCTGGGGGTGAGGCTTAGCTACCAGGGGCTGGCTCTTCCCGTGGAATCCCTGTAAGTTTTGTCCTGGGTTTTGTAGCTTCTGAAGTTTGATCTTAATTCACTCAGAAGTATTTAAACTCTGACTTAACACAATGAAATGAACAGTGGACCAATTTATAAATAAGAATGTGGTTCCTCGCCTGATACTCCCTCTTCTTCACACCAAAGCCTACTCAAAAGACTGTGTGGCAGTTTCTGAATCAGAGACAACAGCGGAGACTGGGCAGTTCGGATGGATATTTCGTTCAAGCCATGGGCCACGCTTACTGGTTGTGTCTGCTAAAAGCAGGGTCTCCTTTGGTTAGTGCTTGGTGAACATGGGATCCCCCGTACATTCTCTTTTGCCCTGAACCGTGCTTGATGGCACGTAATTGCTTTTCAGTCTTCTTGCTATAACTCATGGCTGATTAGGGTGATAAGATCATGGGGCGGGTACTTCTCAGAGGTCAGGACCCATCCTTTTCCACAGGTTTCTTGTCTTCACTTCCTGAGAGCCTACAGCCCTCTCTACACTGCCCCTCGCAGACCCCATGCTAGGTCGGTCAGAGGGGATAATTTTGATCAATCACCTGGGCGCCCACTCTCCTTCTTATAGTCCCAGATCTTACTGGATTGCAATCACAGATTTTTCAATTAGGCATTAAAGAGATCACTAGCCCAGTTTCCCTCTTCCTGGCAGGGAAGGAAAGATTTCATTGTTCTCTTTTACAAACGAGTTATTGCAGACCCGGATGCATGTGAAAGCTTTCCCAAGACCCCACAGAAAGTACTGGCGTGGCAAAAGAATGCACACCTGCGGTGCACTCCTCTGATCGCAACATGTCATTCGGTTCATTTTCCAGCTCAGTGGCACCAGCAGATCCCACCGCCCATGTCCATCCGGCCCAGTGGCAGTCGCTACGGATCTCTCACCAGCAAAGGACTTGACATTTTCTCTGCCTTCTCCTCCATGGAAAGCACCATGGTGTATTCGTGCTCTTCTCAGAGGGTGGTGGAGAGTGATGAACTGTAAGGAGGTCTGGGTGCCTGCTGTGTCAGGGGGCAGAGTGCGGAGAGGGAAGGAGGGTGAGCCAGAACCAGAGTTTCCCAAGCAACTGGATTTGAGTAAGTTCCCACCCTGCTGGGCCTGCGGCAAGGAGTGTTTTGTGTAAATCCCAGGCGGACTCCTGCAGTCTCCGCTGGGGAAGAGAGGTGGGCCTGTACCTTCTAAAGATTCCAACAAAAACGTGAGAGGACAATAACAGAGGAACCAAAGATGTCAAGCCGCTGCCACCCACTGCTCTGGGGGAAAGCTAGCATGCTCCCCTGACCCGTGCTGGGTCAGGGATGTAGTCCCAGATCTTACTGGATTGCTCCTAGTAGTAGATTGCTCCTAGTAGACTGTACTAGGAGCAATTAGGGGCCATATATGCTTGGGTTGAGAAGAGTCAAACAGTAGTGACCTTAGGTTTCACTAACTCGCCACACAATAAAAAGGAAGAAGATGGGAGGTCTCTATCGCCTTTCACTGATTACATCCATAGCTTTAGTTCCGGTGGCTTCGTTAAGTCAGCTTCTACTTAGCATTAAAAGGTCATGCCATGCAAGTCACATACGTGGAGAAGCGTTTTTGCTTATCCCGGGTGTACTGAGCCACAAAATCAGGTGCCAAAGTGTGCTTGAGTTAACAAAATCACTGCAACACTCAGTACTGCACAGGGCACGTATCCTATAGCCAAAACAGGGCTCCACCCACCTGTCTGCACCATTTTTTTTTTTTTAAATACAATGGTGAGTGGAATTTATATATCCCTAGACTCAAGAACTACGGAGCTGCTAATAAACCAGCCAATAAGAAATCTTCTGTGGGGACACTTTTTAAAAATGACTAGCTCCAGTGGCCACTTGCAAACACTGCAAGAATCATCTTTGTCTGCCCATAAATATACTGACCCTCCCACTCCTCCCCTCACCCCCAAAGTCTGGAAGTGTATGAGGCAGTGAGGAAGAAAGCGATGCAAACAAGGGGAGGAAGTGACAGGAGAGTTCTTCACTTGCCCCTGCAGAGCAGTGGGTATGCAAGGAGAGGTATTTAGTAGTTGTGAACCCCTAGGAGGTCATTAATCAAATTGCATTTTCTATCTATGAAATATTACGCTAACTAGGAAAGTAGAAGGGAAGGGGAATTTGCCTCTCTATTCTAAACCACCAATTCAAAACCTGCCTTTCCACTTAAGGGATTTTTGGACAATATCCCCAGTGCCTAGAAGAGTGCTTAGTGCAAGTAGACACTCCACAGATATTTTTTGGGTGAATGAATCTTACATTAGATAGAGAAATCTACCATTCACACACACCAGCCCAAAAACTGTCCTGGGATTGCTCATCACAGCACAGTCTGCTCCCCAGTGATGTGAACTGGAAGCATCTGTTACCGATCCCTGTGCGCACATTTCTGGTGTTCCCTGAGCTGGCCACCCGCAGCAGACAAATGACGCAAGTGAACAAATAGTTATTGCTTAGAAAGGCTTGGCACTTTTCTTCACTTCAAGGCAAGGATTTTCAGTATAAAAAGAAATTCATTCACTCAAAAAGTCATTTGTGTATATATAAGATGCTATGCTGGAGACTGTAAAATATACAAACATAGGAAGCTCCTGGCCTCAGGGAGCTTACAATCTAGTAGAGAAGGTAAGATATAAGACATTTAGAGTGCTGCTTCTTGGGGAAATATATATATATATGTATACATATGTATATATATATGTATACATATGTGTATATATATATACATATATATATGTATATATATGTATATATGTTCAAATAGAAGTTTCTAGTTCTCGTCCTATCTTTTCATGACTGAAATCAAGATTTCGGTCAATTATTTAGCAGAATTATTAGCTTTTGTTTCCTTTTTCATGTATACAGAAATATTGCTAACAATATGGGCAACTGTAATAAAAATAGCATGCATTTCATGTAGAATGCATCCTGTAAGACATTCTATTTCCCTACTGGCATCTGTTATGAAATCTCCTATAACCAAAGAGAACTTTCTAACTCCAGGATGGCTCCCTCACAGCTGCAGACCCAGCCTCCCCATCACATTTCTGTAAACCCTAGACAGTTCTCCCACGGGAGGATAGTTTTCATCTTTATTTGTCCTAGCTTTCTGAATATTTTTTTTGAAATGTGCTGCCTTTTGGTGTTCCAGAGCTGGGATAAATATTATATTTGACCATTAGATGGCACTGTGTAACCTAAAATATAAGAGACATACACACACACACACACACACACACACACTTGAAATTGAGCTATTGGATTATGTAAAGCAGGATTTCTCAAGGTCAGCATTATTGACATTTGGGGCTGGATGATTCTTTGTTTGGAGGAACTGTCCTGTGTACATGGGGATGCTTATTAGCATCCCTGGCCTCTACCCATTAAATGCCGGTAGCATAGCAGCCCCTTCTGAGGTTGTGGCCACTCAAACCATCTCTATACATTGCCTTACATTCTGAGATGCAGAACCCCCCTTTGCTGAGAACCACTGAGTTGAATAAATTGGTGCCCTGCTTTGAGAATTCTATGAGAATTCAATTTCAATGAGGAATACTTATATAAGAAGTTGTAGTTCTCCTGGATACGTTTGAACTCAACATATTCAGCAGATCCCATCATCCTCCCTTTCGTAAATGATTCTTCAACCTAGTTTAATAATTTCTATTAATGCACCTAGTCATCCAAGTAAAAAGATCCAAATTATTTTTCTGTTTCCTCTATCCAATCAATTGATAAGTCCTAATTCTAAAACTTTTTTTTTTAACAATCTGTCCTTCCTTACTATCCCCCTGCAGTCACCTTTGTGACTTTATTAATTTCTCTCAATACTTCTGACCTCAATCATGATAAAATGCTTCTAAGTGGCCTTTTGGCCTCTAATCCTGTTGTTTCTCCCCCACTCAAATCCAGCCCAAATCTCAGCATCAGCTCATTCTTCCCAAAGTATTACTCCGGTCATATTATTCCCCAATTTCAAACCCCCAGTGGCTCTCTGGAGCTCACTCTGGTGCCAACTGTTCCGCCCTAGGGCATTCAAGGCTTGCTCCAATATGATCCCCACGCTCTTCACCTGTCACTCAGAAAACACCCCCGAGGGGGCAGCACACTCAATGCAGGCCCCTGTTCTCCAGCCACAGGCCTCCCCTTTCACCTCAGCCTGGAAGCCTCTCTCCCTGTCTATACCTATGGACATCTTCCCTGCTCCTGAAGAGCCATGTCAGAGACTACTGCCTCTGTGAAAATGTCTTCTGACTCCCCAGACCCTAACCGAATGCAGTTCTATTTCCTTTTAAAACATATTTTATTGATTTTTCACACAGAGGAAGAGAGAGGGATAGTTAGAAATATCGATGAGAGAGAAATATCCATCAGCTGCCTCCTGCACACCCCCCATAGGGGATGTGCCCGAAACCAATTGCATGCCCTTGACCGGAATCGAACCTGGGACCCCTCAGTCCGCAGACCTACGCTCTATCCACTGAGCCAAACCAGTTAGGGCCAGCTCTATTTTCTTTGTAACCTTACAGCAAATGTCTTCGATGGAAGAAGAGCACTTTGTATAGTATTTTATGTAAAGCACAGCCTCTCTCTACCTGCCTGCCCCCTCCCTCTGCTCTAGCCCAGTCTTTCCTATACTAGATTTTAGCTTCCTGTTGGTATGGGCTGTGTCAAAAGTCTGCTGTGTACCTTATATGAGTAGGTACTCAATAAATATTTATTGGCCTAAATTGAACTTTCAAATTCTATGTAAACCAATATGTTTCTGATATAAAGTGTACTGAGTATAGAGGAGTGGTTCACCTTGGCTGCCCATTCGGATCTCCTGGGGAGCTTTTAAAAATCCCAGAGCCCAGGTCACAACTCCAAATCAGGAAGCTGTGGCCTAAAAGGCATCAGTATCATTAAAGCTTCCCAGGTGATCCCAATAAGAACAAGAAGCAAAGGTTCAGGAAGGTCACGTCAGAACTGATCCAGAAAGGTCCAGAGGGATGCCGGTGCCATAAAGCCGTCTGCTTGGCATCGGTGAAGAACGCGCTCCCCCTTGTTGCCCATGCAGTGCCTGCCTGGAAAGTAGAAATAAACACGCCTTTTGGCCTCGTTAGACTATTTTGTCCAATGTTCGTTAGACATGTATCGTTCATGAAACCCCAGAAGAACCTCAAAAACGTGCAAAAATGGACCAGTGGAAGTTGGTGCAATGCATCCAGCCCTTTGTTTCAAAAGACTGTGCAGATCCCGTAAGCACCTTTCTCTCCAAAGAACGGAGGAATTTTTATAATGCAGTCATGGACATGGAGATCGGTGAGAAAGAAAATGGGCCATTAAAACCACGCCGTCTTTTTGAAACATAGTGCCCTGCACCAAAGTAAGGTTGTTTTTTTGTTTTGTTTTGTTTTTAATGTATTTTATTGATTTTTTTCAGAGAGGAAGAGAGAGGGATAAAGAGTTAGAAACATCAATGAGAGGGAAACACAATCAGCTGCCTCCTGCACACCCCCTACTGGGGATGTGCCCGCAACTAAGGTACATGCCCTTGATAGGAATCGAACCTGGGACCTTTTAGTCTGCAGGCTGACGCTCTATCCACTGAGCCAAATCAGTTTCGGCACCAAAGTAAGGTTTTAAACAGAATTGCCACATAGTGGAACTGGTTTCAATGCATTCTTCTCTTTTTATTCCTTTCTTAGCTTTTGGAGGCAGCCAATGAGAAATTAAATGGTGAAGAGACTAGAAGTGGTAGCACTATAGCCTTGCATCACACATACCATGGAGGGTAACTCCTGGAGGAATCAAAGCTGACTTTTGTAAGGATGGGTTAATTTGGATAATTCTCAAATGGTGCATAGGTTGCCTTCTAAATGTTCACTTGTAAATTGGTTGTTTAAAACTCAGAACAAAATTCTTACACACATATCACCCAATACAATATTCCCAAGTGAACCCAGCAACACCCATTTAATTCATGACTGAGTCACAAAATGTACTACGCCTGATCCAACAATAGGATCCAGGTAAAGCAGCCAATAAGAGGAGATGAAAGACTTCCTCCTCCCTTTTTTGTGTCTATTATATGATGTGTCAGAGCTAACGAATGTCTAGGGTCCTTTCTGTATGTATTCCCCTCCTGTGTTTTTCTCCCCAGATGCCCTATTCTCCATGTCCTTTAACCCCCTGCTCTAACCCTTCCCATCTCACCCCTTCCCTGTCAGCATGTCAGCATACTTCATGATCCAAAATGGCCTAACTCCAGTTCCATGCATCTTGGCTTGATGTTCAGAAGGGAGCAGTCCAACTGAACGAATTCTGAATGCCTGAGAGTCCTTTCACTTCTCAGAGGCGCTGCATTTCTAAAAGCAGTTGCTTTCTTACTCCCATCAGCAACTCATTGATAGAATTGCCAACAAAGTACAAAAAACAACAACAACAAACAAACAAACAAAAAACAGGCCGTGAGAGGAGGTCTAGAAAACTGACTGGGTCAGACCCCCACATTGTCCTTGTTGATCACAGCAGCTTCCTCCGGACCTCCTCCTCCCCACAATCCCAAAGTGCCTTCCACGCTGAGATCCTGGCCTGCGTCTGTTTGTATGTGGACTATAAATCGATCATTAACTAAAAGACCAAGTTACTTGTCATGACTTTTATTCACGGTCTCTTACAGGGTCCCTGGTTAACCTGGCCTCAAAGTATTTCTGATGATGGTTGGGTTGAAAATCAATGTGCCTTACCAGTAAGTTGTACAGTCACTTAGATTGCAGTAGAGTTTGTTGAACTCCTTTACACCATTAATTGTTTTTTCTTCAGTGGATCAATATTTCAAAAAGTTAATTACTAAAGCTTTGCTTAAAGAATGCCAAGCATCTTCTAAACCTTGACAATGCAGTGATCATCAATATGCTAAAAGAAAGTTGCTAATATTATATTTTTAAAATCTGTGTGGTGCAAAAATGTGCATATTTGTTTAAAAATGTTTGCCTCTTATTCGTTAGTATGCTAACTAATATACCTAATGACATATTAGTTAGCATACTTGGTATTATAAAACCATAAACACACTGCCTTTTGTTAAAGTGTAAATAATGGCCACATCAAACTCCAAAGAGCAATGATAGCCTTGAAATGCAAGTAGAGAAAGAATACACTTTTCAATCCTCTGAGAATTGTGCCATAAAGTTAAGAGTAAGCACAAAGAAAATGTCCTGTGTACTACAGAGGCGTATAAACACTAATTTGCCAGAAGATTTTAATATATAAGTGAATAGAAAATGTTTCCCTAATAATAAAAATTAAAATGTGTTAACATTACTTGAAAATATTTTAAGGCTGAATTGAAATAAGTGTACATTTTTCTTTCAAATGCAGGAAACAGTTCTATTGTTCAAGTTTAAAAATTACTTTTTTATTATAATAGAACAGACTTTTTTACTGTACAAAGGTATTTGAGACTTTAAAAAGGATTTTTTTAAATTATATAAATTACTAAATAAATTATAACCTGCTTAAATATCTCTAGAGCAATAGAAAGATAACTGAGTTTTGGTCTTTCTCAAATACCCAGTAGATTCAATAGACTTCTCAGTGAATGTCCTTTAGCAATCTAAGGTTAAAATGTATTCTACTTCCTAACTGAAAGCAGACACTTTAAAAAGTGAGACTTTTGAGACAAGTTTATATTGGAAATTAACGGATACACAAGTATAGTTTTGTCACAATACTAGGTGTTCTAATTCCCACAAGAAATATGAATTATTTTTATATGGTAAAAGGGAATTGCTCAATGATCCAAAATTCCAAGGAATTTGATATTTCTTCACAGATTCAGTGAGTTATCTGCAAACGAGAGGCAGGTTCTTGTCATTTTCCCAGTTAGTGGTTTAAGAAGGCAGTTATCTATGCACTAGTATTGACTACAGAAATCATTACCATAATCAGTTACACAAAAGATTACTAAATTTGTATGTGTGCACAGTATAGAAGGTTTTACTGTGTATTTTAAGGAGAGTTAAAACCCTGCAATTCAAATGACATAATTTGAATGCAACTATATATTTTTAATGCACATTGGTAAATGAAATATTTTTTTAAAATATGTTTTATTGATTTTTTTACAGAGAGGAAGAGAGAGAGAGCTATTAAAGATAGAAACATCGATGAGAGAGAAACATCGACCAACTGCCTCTTGCACACCCCCTACCGGGGATGTGCCCACAACCAATGTACATGCCCTTGACCGGAATCGAACCCAGGACCTTTCAGTTCGCAGACCGACACTCTACCACTGAGCCAAACCGGTTTCAGCGGTAAATGAAATATTTTTTCAGTATTTTGATTTCAGATACCTTATCTTCTTTTCTGATGAATTTTCACTTACTTTTTTCAACCCTTACCACTAAGTTTCTTGATAGACCCTTCTCTCTTCATTACTCCCGTCAAGATAAAAATCTGTAAAATATTTAATAGCATTAGGATTTTAATAATTCCTATAAATTTCAGACATGTTTTCCAATTTTCCTGTAACTGTGGGGTCTGTTTCTTTATCTATAAAATAAGCAAAATACTTGAATCTTTCCCAGGATAAAGGATAGGATAAATAGATATTTATGAAGAGTTTATTTTAGAGACCTTATAAAAAGCAGCAGCAGGTTTTTTTTTAATTCCAAGGGAAATGTTAAAATATTTTTTCCAAGTAAGTAGTTAATTTATTTTTTAAAGGTTCACATTTCTTTCCTGCCTCACTACTTTATTTTGTCTTAACAGGATAATACACAATGGCAAAATCTTCCTCCAAAGATGGTATAGTTAAAAAATATATATATGAAAAAAATTAATTCAGGAAATGTCCTATCTGCTTTCTGCAGGCAGATTCCGGGAAAATTTATTGTGGCATGAGCAAGAATAGCCAAAGGGAACTCTGGTTCTTGTGTCTATGGTTGAAGCTAGTGGGGGGGAAAATGACTTGGCAGTGCACAGAGAAATAGCAAATGCGTTCCTGTGTTCCTTTGTGGCTTAAGCACTCAGACAGCGCCATCATACAGTGAAGAAATGTTCCATGCTAGCATGTCAGTGGCCTACAGTGAAAGGAATCAGCGTTAGAGTAACAGGTAAATATGGACCCTCAAAACAAGCATATATTTCGGTCTCTGTTTTCCCATTCACAGTTACATCAAGTCTGAATTTAACCCAGGTGATTCATTTCAGTCATAAGGACTGACAGAGGATGTATTCCTGCCATAGGAATGTATTCGCGTGTACACACAAACACACACACACACACACACACACACACACACACACACCCCAAGTAAGGAGTCGTGGAGCATCCATAGCCAACCTAATCCAATCAGAACAAGTGATTCCTCTTACACTTCTCCTTTCTCTTCCTGCATGAGTTCTTTCCCCTTGAAAACACCCCAGGCCCCAGAAAGCTCACAAATATGGTGTGCTTCCATCTTAGGAAGCTTGAGTCAACTTATTTTCTAAGGTACTTTTTGGTTATTGAAATCCTAATGGAAAAATCATTATAGGAGTCACTTTGAAATGTAGTAGTCAGAGTGAGTTACATAAACTGTATATTTTGCTTTTATTGCTAGAAAACCGTTGGCTTTTATTCCTGTTCCTTTGCATCATGCATGCTAGATAGTCTGTGGAACTGATGGCTAAGGCCAAAACGTTGGTGAGCATCAACTGTGTCTTTGTTCAGAAGCTATATGGAACTGTGTCCAGTAGACCACGTCATCTCCACGACACCCGTTGCTGTTTTCTAGTCATGCTTATCTTAAAGATTTGTTGAGGGTTGTATTTTGTTTGGGAACTTTGTAACTAGAAAAAAGAACATTAAGAATTTAAAAAGTTATTTAGTGGATGTTTTAAAAAGCCGTTTAGAGGATGTGATGGGCTGTTTCTGTGTTCATTAAATAAAACGTTATTTATTCTCAATTAATTGTTGGGGGTAAGTTCTTGCTGTCAGGGGTTTTCTCTCAGCTCAGGTATTCATTATGAAATAGCAAACCAAACGCCCGTGTTAATGCAACAAAATGGTTGTTGGAGTTTGTACCCATAGTGCATTCATGACCAGAGAGAAGGGTATACGTTCTGAGAAGATAGGTCATATGTTTATGGTCTTACATGCACTTTGAAATTTCCTTCACCTCCTCGGTAGTAAAAAGAGATGTCTTTAGTGGGACCCAAAGAAAACATAGAGCAAAGTCTAGCCAAATTCAGTACAAAAACAGCACTTCACTTTCTTTTTAATGTGCTTTTACTGATTTAAGAAAGAGAGAAACACTGATGAGAGATATCTATCGGCTGCCTCCTGCAAACTCCCTACTGGGGATTGAGCCCGAAATCTTGGGCATGTTCCCTGACAGGGAATCAAACCGTGGCCTCTTAATTTGTGGGTTGACGCTCAGCCACTGAGCCAAGCGGCTGGGCAGCATGTCACTTTTACTATAAGATGGTATAATTTAAGTGAACTGGGCCTTCATTGTTGAAACCTGCAGCTCTCTTAACCACAACCCAAGCAAGGGCTATCTGGCTCATATCTAGCAGCAATTTTAGATCTTCATTAACATAAAGGGCACCTCATCATCTTAGGGACTGGCTGCATTGGCTGTTGAGAAAGCCTAACCCTTTTTAACATTTACAAATACAAAGAAAGAATGGTGATGAGGTTAACGGTGTCATAGCAGGTACGGTTTAATTAACTGGTTCTCAACCCTGAACCCATTAACATCATCTGGGGAGCATTTAAAAAATATCTATGCCTAGGCCTCACCTCATAGAAACAGGCAGCTGAAGGCATGGTATTGAACAGAAACATTCTCATTCCTTTGGGGGAAGGAGAGGCATTGGAATAGAATCCCATCATTTTAATTAAGTTGTTCAATTTCATTAAGAAACAGCTGTTAAGTTAATAACCATAAAAGAAATATTTATTGTTTATAGCTGAGGCCTCTTTTACAAGATATTTATTCAGTCCCGGCAGTAGGATGTGAACACAATATATATATATATAAATTTTTTTTTACACTGCTTTTATTCATTCTCAAACTCTACAAATTTACTGGGGTTATTGATGAAGGCTTTTAAGTCTAAATAATTAAGCTATTGGACCCACACAGTGAGGCAGCAGATGCTCGGAGCCTTATCATTAGTCTACTGAGAGTGGAGTGTGACCAGAAAAGGGCGCTGGCATCCTCATTCCCAGAACTGCATTGCCTGTTGGACAGTAGCGTCTTCGAAGAGCTGTTGAGGCTAAACATTTTACTCTCTGATTTGCAGTTCAGAAGCAAAGTCCTCAACCCTCTTCCATTTCTTCCTACCAGACAGCAGAAGGGAAATTTATCGTCTCTCAATGGATTTCTAGGGATACACTTGTGATTGTGTCAGTTTAAATTTATGTGCTGGGGAAGACACATTCCTTACCAACCAAATGGATTTTGATAATTACCATAACTAAGAACGTAAACATTTTAACAGAGACTCTGTAGATACTTTGCAAATTGAGGGTTGTATCTGATGTTAGGCGTTGGAATCCATACCAAGGGTTTGGGGATCTCATTTTTTTGTTGACTTGTGACAAGGTCCAAAGGTAACTTAAGAATCCTACTTACTGTAATTATTAGCAGGACATTCTCCCAAATGCATTCGGTTTGGTTTATTCGTCTAATGGGTAAGCAAATTTATAAAAGTAACTCAAACAAATGCCATGTGTATTCTTTTGTTCCCATCTTGATTAGCCTTCATGGTAGTGAAGCTCTTATTGCTCAACTTGTGCTGATTAAAAGGAAATTACTTCCAAAAAGAACATTTTTAAAATTCCTCTCAGTTATGCTCTGGTTTCTCTTCAGATCCCATAAATCTTTCGCCTTTTAAAATTCCTCTCAGTGATAGTTTGTATGTGTGTGTGTGTGTGTGTGTGTGTGTATGTATATATATATATATATATATACACACAATATATATATACACACAAACAGAAACAATGTATATATATTGGGTATTTGTAAGAAGTTATAGTAATGTGCTTGATATGGAAAACAAAATATTGAGGAACTGTATAGTTACTTAAAGCTAAATATTATTTTAATTAATCATTAAAAAACATGAAAAATCTCTATTTTCAAGATTACAGAGAAAACTTTCACATGAATTATGTGTACTAGCCTCAATTTGCCTTTTTTTTTTTTTTTTTTAGGAAGTATTACAAAACAGCACATTTACCATTGGTGTGATTAGATTTAAATATTCCACATCTTTGCTCAGGGAAGCACTCAATATCATTACCCCCAATTAGGCCTTTAGTGCCATCAGGGAACTAGCAGGGCACCTGGCACGAAGAACAGACCCACGTTTTCATCCATATTTTACAAAATCTGTATTCTAATCATGTATACATAGTTTTTAAAAATACAGAACATTCACAGCCATGTACTCTGGGGGGGGGGGGGGGGAGAAAGAGTCTACTTGATGCATGCGCACACAACGCCCAAAGCAAAAGGTGTGTTAAGCATATGCAAGGAATGGATACTGTAACTTCACCCGCACAGTACAAACTTACAAAGTGTAAGGAAGTGATCCTTTCTCCGAGGACTAACGCTGCAGGATAGCCTACTTCTATTTTTTTACTTTAGATGGTTTTCCCTCCGAGTAGTCAAAAAAAAAAAAGAGAGAGAGGAGGGGGGGGATTATTTTCACAGCAATCAAAACCATTCACAATATCCATCTATGACATCTGCAAAATACTGGTAAGAAGGGGGAGGGGGGAGAGACAAATCACCGTGTCCATCGCCTAGGGATGCAAAATCAGGTAAACCAGAACGTTGGCTCATTTTTATGCTCAGAATACATCCTTGGTCACCAAAAGGTCACCTGTGGATTCAGGTGAAAGGGGAAGGGGGAGGCGGGCTCCGGGGCTCGATCCCGGGCCAGCACCCCCGGCGGCGGGGCGGCGCGCCCTAGCTGGCCATCTGGAAGGGCTCAGGCTGGAAGCCGAAGAGCCGCTGCCCATAGGGCTCGCCCTCGCCCGGCGGCGGCAGCTTGGCGCCCGCGAACGGGAGGAAGGGGTCGCCGCGGCCCAGGGGCTCGCAGTGGAGGTGCACCCAGTCCCGCTCGGCGCCGAAGCGCTCGGCCTCCGCCAGGATGCGGGTCAGGGCCATGATGTAGCTCAGCGCCATCTGCAGCGTCTCGTACTTGGACAGCTTCTTGTCCTGGCCCCACTGCGGCACCACGCGGCGCAGCCGGTCGAAGGCCGTGTTCAGCCCCTGCATGCGGCGCCGCTCGCGCGCGTTGGCCGCCAGCCGCCGGCGCGCCGCGCTCTCCGGCCGCCCGGCCCCCGCGCACGCGCTCTCCGGCCGCCCGGCCCCGGCCCCGACGCACGCGCACACGCTCTCGGGCCGCCCGGCGCACGCGCACTCGGCGCCGCCGGCGGCGCAGGGGGGCCGGGCGCGCGCCCCGGCCGCGGGGAGGCCGGGCTTGCAGGACTTCATCCCCCGCGGGACGGAGCGGGTGCGCGCGGGCTGGTCTGTGCAGCGGCTCCTCCTGGCGAGTAAGTGACACGCGCGGCAGCAACTCGCGTGGAATCGGAGTTCACGGCGGGAGGCGCGGGCGCCGCCTCCTGCGCTCCCGGAGGGTAGCCGGCCGGAGGTCCGTCTCTTCACTCGCCGGGAGTGAGGGGACACGCCGAGGCCGAGGAGAAAGTCATGTTCCCGGCGAGAAGGTGGACGAGAGAAGGGAGGCTTCCCGGGGCAGAACGGAGTGTGGGGAGGCTTTTCCAGTCCCCGGGGAAGCCCGAGCCCCTTTCCCGGCCGGTGGGAGCTCAGCCGGGGAGGGAGCGCCTCCTCCGCAGACGCCGAGGGAGGAGGGATGCTGCTGCATCTTGGAGGGAAGAGCATTTATAGCGGAGGCCGAGGAGGGAACAGGTGGTGGCAGGTGGGCGGGCGTCCCTCGGCTTCCATCTCAGCACCTTCCTAACCTGGGAACGGCGGGGGGGGACGGAGGGGGGGTGGGACGCACAGCAAAATCCTGACATTACAGCCCTCGTCTGTTGAAGTTTCTCCAAAGCTATGCCCCTGACAGGAGCGCACCATCTGGAGGGGCCCGGCCGTCCCCAAAAGAACAACAAGGTGGGGGTGCGGGGAGAGCCTGGCCCATCTTTTCCCACATCAGCGGGCAGCTCCCATATCAAAAAACTTAGCCGAGGCTTTCAGTTTATTAGAAGTCATTTGCATGAACAGTGTTGGTCTTGGAATGATGAGCTGTATCCGTTTAGTAGAAGATGATTTAGCTTTGTCTCGAGATGTGTGACAGTTTTGGATCATGCTGATCTAACGTGTTGACATTTCAATTTTAGCTTATGAAGTTGGGACAAGTTGGCATATGGCAGTCCTGGAATTTTACTGTGCGAACCGTTTGACTGTTTTCTGCAGGATAATTTGTTATAACGTATCAAAAGATGTTAATGACATGTCAAAAATGTATATTATTCTCATTATGTCATCGGATTGCATGAGTTGGGATACGTAGGCAAATTAACTCAGAATTTATACTTTATTCCTCCTGATACAGGTAAATAAATGTTTTGGGTTCAACCATTTAGGATGCTAGTCCCTTCATTATTTAATTTGACATTTAAGTCTAATAAAACTAACCATAATGCACATATATGTGCAACATGGAAACATCTAAGTAATTTGTGAGATTTTTTAAAAGTAGCTCCTAATAAAAGGGTTGTTTTCCCCCAACCCCCACGTCATAAAGCTGTAAATATTTCATACTACTTGGTGTTTCAGTTGTGTCTGTCAGCTGTCCTCAGGAACAATATTGAAGCACAATTTCCACTATTGATAATGATGCACTGATTTATACAGAGAATCCATTCGCTTGATTCTCTCATCACAGCTTCTCTCTAGCTCTTAAGGAAAAGTAAAGTGGCAAAGAAACCCACTCCACATAGATTCAAGCCCATTTCTGGATTCTAAAGGAAGACCCAAGGCATTCTTTTCCCCTTTTGAAATACGGGTTTGCCAGGATTATTCTCAGCCACTTTTATTTAATTACATTACCAACAAACTCTTACGACCAGGAGTCTTTTGACTGGGGCTTGCTTCCCCCTCATTGCCGCAGAACAGAACCCCACTGTGCCTGCCCTGACTCCAAGTCCAGTCTTCCCATAAATAGTTGATTAATCCCCAGCTGAAGCCAGGTCAGTGAAATGAAGTTGAGTAACACGAAGACAATAGAATGCAATGGGACATGAATGATCTCCAGCATGGCAGCTGCTGAACACAGACTTTCACATGGACCCACTCCGCTCTGCTCCTCTGGGTCTCAACAGTGTTGGTCAGGAACAGTTGTCCTGTGACAGGAAACATTCTGTTATTTAGTCACCAAGATGTCGAATATATTTTTTCTGAGTTTTTATGGAAATCTTCCCCATGAATGCTATTCTTTCTCCTGTTCATGTATCTCATCCCTTTCCCGCAAAGAGCTTCCTCTGGGTTCGTCTTTGGGATATTTCCCTACAGACTGAGCACTTACTCTGGACACTGGTGACCAAGGTGCTAATGAGATGGCGCGATTTTGCAGGCAGGCCATGTAGTCAGGGTTGGGGAGATTATAGTCTGTGCCCCAAAAGAAGCAAAAGCATACCTTGAAGAGAAAGGGAAACATAGCAAGCAGGATGCACACAGCACAGCTGTGTTCAAATATAAACTAGCAGATATCTATGCCATGAACTTGAACCAAGGATAGAGAGTACTGCTGCAATAAAGGGTCCTAGAAAGCACATAGTAACCTATTTCCCAATGGTATGCTGAAGGACACTTGGTTAGTACTATAAAGATTCTGGAGAAAGGAATTTCATCCTCAGATAAGTTGGGAAACATATTTGCTGTCTCTTGCTCGGGGAGCCATGAGCAGAATTGGTACAGTCAAGTTTCTGAGATGTCCAGAAGTAAATAAGCCCATTGACTCATGTTTCCAATACTTCCTTGAACACAGGACCTTTCTTTCCCCCCTAGGAAGGCCTAGTAACCAAGTTCCTTGGAACACGCTTTTTCCAAACTTAATCTAGAACCTCCCATTTATTTTATGGAGGAGGAGACCGAGGTCGGAGACGAAACACTATGCTCAAAGGCACTGAGCAATGGAATGGCTGAGTTAAGATAAGAGATCAGTCTTCTGTGTCCTTTGATTTTAGAGGTTTTAAAATTATGAGGTCACTTCATACAAGCCCTTCAGTTTACAATGGGGCCACTGAGATCCACCAGTGACTTCCCAAAGTCTCTAGTAACAGTGCCAGGAATAGAATTAGAAATTTTGTGCTTAAAGGACAGTGCCATTTATTTTATACACCTACTGTCTAGCACAGTGCCTAGAAAGTAATAGGTAATAAATGACCCAGGCTGAATGGCTGGAAAATAAATTAGATGAATGATAGATAGATAGATGCTGATCAGAATGAGTACATTCCTCATGAAATTACCCACATGAAGGACTTTTATCCCCTACCTTGTAAAGAACACACACCGGCTCCAGATTAGGAATGCAAAAATGGATTCTTATCAGAAACACACCCATAGCCATTTGAGCCAGAGGAACATGCATGTCAGACTCATTTCCTCAGTGTTTCAGTGCTGAGGGCATGACTCTGCCAGCTGAATTGGCAGTTGCTGTATGGCGGGAGGTTGGCCAGAAATCAGAACTGGCAGATGGAGATGGGAGAACGGGGAAGACAGAGGAAGCTTACACCTGTAGGAGTAGAAAAACAGGCGATATCTTATTTGAGAGGAAAAAGATCAATAGCTGAAAATTATTACATAAAAAGTATAGAATAAGTTCAAGGGTAAACATTCCTTTATTATCCAAAAACCATATTTAATTTTCTAAAATGGAAACTCTCCAAATAAACACACAGTTAAAGAGAAGAAAATACTTGGCAAAAAAAAAAAAAAAAAAAAAAAAAAAAAAAAAAAAAAAAAAAAAGCTCACTCTGAAATTTGCAGAGAAAAATATGGAAAATGAGGAGCAGGGCTCCCTTCCAGAGGGGGTGGCAATTGGTGGACTCGGTCCCTGAAAGACTCAGAGGTAAGCCAGCAAAAGACAAAGGAATGATGAAGCAGAGTTTCACTTGTATTTCATTAAAGACCACAAGAGCGAGGTGTAAAAGTTCTTATCTATAATAATAAAAGCGCAATATGCTGATTAGATCGGACAGCCAAATGACCTTCCAGAAGTCATTCCAGATGTCCTTCCAGAGGAAGCCGAGGCAAGAGGGACCAAGGCAGGGAAGTTAAGGGCGATGGGGCAGGCAGGCAGGCAGAGTGGTTAGTGGCGATCAGGCAGGCAAATAGGCGAGCGGTTAGGAGCAGGTGGTCCCAAATTGCAAGAGGGATGTCCAACTGCCAGTTTAGGTAGGATCGGGCCTAAACCAGCAGTCATACATCCCCCAAGTGGTCCCAGATTGCAGTAGGGTGCAGACCTCATTGAGGGACCCCCGTCCCCTGTGCACGAATTTCGTGCACCGGGCCTCTAGTAATTTTATAATGTGCTGTGAAGTTAGTTACAAAGGGACAGAAAGGAAAGGAGGCAAAGTTCCCTGCCCCTCAGAGATGCAGAGAGATCTCAGTGGAGGACAGAAGCTAAGAAGGGTTGGAGACTAATAACGAGCCAAGAGAAAGATGACAAAGATGGAAGACCCGGCACCAGGCCCAAGACTTAGAAAGTACAGGCTCACCAGAGGGCCCCGGGTGGTTCTCCAACCCCCAGTCACTTCACACTTTGTGTGAGAATTCTGGCCTGGCAGTCAGACGTGCCTGGTTTGGACTCTGCATTCATTTTTCTTGATGGTGGAAATTAGCTTCCTTTGAGCATCTGGGCTAAGCTGTATCTTTGAAGTCAGCTCTCCGTCCTGGATCCCCTAGCAACAAGCTGTATGCTCTTGCAGAAGTCACTTCTGCTTCTCCATCTGCAAAGTGGAGTGATAACGCCTACCTCCCAGGGCAGGGGTGAGCATTGACATGGGAGTGTACCTGCAAAGGACGCTGCCTGGCCCCTCATAAAGTCACTCCTTCAGTGACAGCTAATAGTGCGCATTAGGAATAGTTCTTACAAAAGAAAATGAACTCATTGGTTTCTGCAGACTTAGAACTCAAGGGATAATTTTGGACCTTTTACACAGAAAACTACAGTTGGCCATCATGTGAATTCCAACTGTGTGATCTTAACTTACTTAATCACCCCATGCCTCTTACCCTATCTGTAAGAGAGAGCTAATAATACTGTAGATCAAGTCTCATAAAACTGATATGAGGATTGAGTTAGCTATCTTTGTAAAGCACTTAGATCCATGCCTGGCGTCGAATTAGATGCAATATAGGTGCTTGTTTATTAATAGATAAACAAAATGACTGGTTGCCATTATCCAGGATACAGACTCGCCATCCCTCCTTTAAGCTAATTTTTTTGCTGTATTTCCCTGTCCACCAACTGAGAGGGGACAAGAAGAAGAGGCCAAATTCAAAGGAGTTCCTTTTGCCTTTGATATTG